CCCAGGAATCTAGGGTCACGAATGCGAATTCGAGGTTCTTAGGCCCGATGTGCTCGTTGTAAAAGTTACTGAAACGGTCGACGGCGTCGCGGAAGGAACCGGCGTTGCGAACCTGGTCCCATGTGAGGGTCGTCAAGCTGGCTGTGCAGGGTTCGACGTCAGCGGAAATTGCACAAATTGTGGACCGTAGAGGTGAAGAGCAAACTTACTGCATAGGGCCGTGATTGGCGTGTTGACCGGCTTGACGAGGACCGACTCACGATGGAGCTGTTGTTGAGTTAGCGATTGAGGTCGGCATTGGATCTGACTGACATACCTCCTCGCACGACTTTGCATCGAGCAGGATCCAACCGAGCTCAATGACCTCGGCAGAGTCTTTAGTAACATACACGCCGTGCTCGTCGCAGGTGGTAGCTACGTGGATTACAACGTAGCGGTCCAGGTTGGCCGCCTGGGGGCTGGGGGTGGGTTGAGAAGCCATATCTATGTTGCTGAAAGGGTCAAGATTAGCCTGGTATCCTTGGGTATCTCAGAGCAAGCTGGCAATTGAGGTTCTTGAGGTTCGGCGGGCGACGTCTGTTGGGGAAGGAGGTACGACGGTCGGCGGAAGGAGAAGGCGCGACGGGCGAGTACGTCAGCGGGGAGCCCAAGGTGAATGGTGAAGAGGAGTGGGGAACAGCTGGCAAGCTGTGAGGGCGTGAAGGGGAAAACGGAGCCTCGAGGTGACGGAGGATACGGTGAGATGAAACCAAATGCTACGAGATGGGGACGGACGACCTGAGGCTCCGTGCAATGATCCCGGGCAGATTTCTTGACGTGGATAGCAGAGCTAAGGCACAACTTCCAGATCTTGGCGGGAGCTCGACGTTAGTCCGCCTAGTGCCGGGCATGTCAGAGCGATGTGGGATATAGTGTGACGGTGCTGCAATTGCAATCTGTTCACGGGTTTTATGCTGGCTGAGACTGCAATTGACGTTTCTCTTACCCTTACTTGTCCCGTAGTTGTCCTGCAACGTCACGAAGCAAGGCTAATTTCGACGTCGTCGCTCCAAATTTCCAGACGCAAGACGGCGTGCAGCAGGCCATGCCACGAGTACGGCGGACAGCAGCTCCCGCAGCCGCTCGGCAGAGCTGTCTGTACCCATCTGAAACACTCTCCGCCCTCTGATCCAATGTTCCACGCGTCTGCTGGAGGCGCTCGCGTGTGCTGCGCCTCGACCGTGCCACGTTGTGCCCCCATGGTGATATTGATCGATACCGCGTGTGCTCGTCCTGAACAGCTGCATTCGAGTTGTGCTTTTGCTGCTCGCCGTGCCGCTTTGGGCCACCGAGACTACTGCGTAATCAGGGTCCAACTGGCCAGCTGGCCCATCGTGACCGCGCGACATGCCCTCGTCTTATACAACGGGGCGGCGGCTGGCAGAGAGTCAAGCGCCTCTAAGTCCGCCTCTAACGCCGCGCGCATCCCGCCCTCGACGACACCGCCGCGAGGTAGTCGCTCTTGTAGTAGTGCACGCCAAATCTGTACCTAAACATAAGTTCAGGACATGCAGAATATCGCCGTGGCCCCCTCCGCCCATGCCGCTTGGGCTCGCCATCCGGGAACCCCTGGCGATCTTCCCATTCCCGCGGAGCCCTGGAGCTGGGGCCAGGCTCACGTGACACGTAGGCTGTCGCCCGCTGCTCGTACCGCCGAACAATGAAATGGGGGCAGGAGGATGATGATCTTCGAGCCTTGCTGACACGTACAACAAGCACTAGCCCTGTCAGCGCGCCGTTGGATTCTTTGTGCGGGAAGTTCCTAACTGCTTGGGCCTGCCCCTTAAACGCGCTGCTCCCTCTGCTCTGTCCATAGACGCTCGAGCACCTTCACTGACTGACTGTTCTCCGCAATCCGCCTGCAATTTGCAGTTTATGCTCTCCAGTTTCGTCCCGGGCCCGCTCCCACGTACCGGGGACCTTGCACCTGCATTGCGGCTTTGGCAATTACCTGGGTCTGGCTGAGGCTTGTTACCAATCCAAGCATGTCTTCTCGGCAACGGGGATTCACATCTTCCCCGCAGCTTGCCAACGGACGCGAGTTAGTATTCACCTATCCACTTTTGAAACAACGGACTGCGCTGCACCACCTCAAAAGCAAATGTCCGACGCCTACATGGAATCCGTCCCCTAATACCTTTCCAGTTCATCGCGAGGCATCATGGGCTTCTTCAAGCGCTTCCGCCGCCAAAAAGCCTCCAAGAAGAGCGAGTCGCGTCCGCGCAACGACCTCTACGCCCCCGCAGTATATGACTACCACGGCCCCGACCAGACGCAGCGACTGCCCGATAAGGTCCTCCGCCGCATCTTCGAAGAAGTCTGTCCGCATTCGGCCGACGAATCCCTCGACGGCAGCGAGGACAGCGGTAATGACGGCTGCATGAGTTGTGACATGCGCGACCTGGCACATTGTGCCTTGACCAAGCGACAATGGTACGGTGTTGCTGCCGGTCTCCTGTAAGTCCCACATGCTCAGTGCACCAGGCTACTCCCTAACGTGCCCCAGATACAACAGCATTCGCATTGACGCCGTCCACTATTGTGAGCTCGAGGAGGTCTACGCCGACCAGCGCCGGCGCAAGTCGCGAAACGGCGATGACATCGACGCGCCCACGCTCCGTCTGCAGCAGCTGGGCCAGAGTGTGCGTGGAAACCAATACCTCGGCCAGCGCGTGCGCTTCATCAAGCTCCCTTACATGACGCGCGAGGCGTGCAAGGCTGACCTCGCGCGAACCGTATCGGGCTGCCCGAACATTGAGTTCATCGACCTCCCGGACGGCTTCTACAATGGCGATCAGTCGTGTCAATTGCTGCGTCAGGAGCTGCAGGCGCGGTGCCCACACATCCGGAAGATGAAGTACAACGAGGGCGGAGAGCAGTCGCTAGAGACGCTCCTCCAGGGCTACTGGCAGGAGCTGATCTCGGTCGAGCTCAACAAGATCCAGATAGAGCCCAGCATTCTGAGGCAGGTCTTCGGTGTGCTGCCTCACCTGAAGGAGCTCACCATCACCGGCGTCTCGTGGCTCAACGACTCGACCTTTCATGACGCCCCGGGAATCCCCAACTTCCCTGCGCTAGAAACCCTGAAACTCACCAAGGTACACGGTGTCACCGCAAACGGACTCGCACAGTACCTCTACAACCCAATGTGCAGCGGCAGGCTGCGGACCCTCATCTTGAAGGACTGCGGTGGCATTCCCGTACCCTCCCTCCACATCATTCTGCAGGCTGCAGTCACCCTACGGACGCTTGAATACAACGCCACAGTCTCTGCATCTCTTCCTTTGGACCCGATACCACCCATGACGTCGTACACGCTACACAAGCTGCATTTCGAGGTCATCTCCAGCTCCGCCCATCAAGCCTACCCGCCTAGTGCATCGTGCTACCAGTACCTAGCCAACTCGCTCATTGCGAACTGCATGCCGGCGCTGCGACAGCTCTACGTGCGCGATCCCGAATTCCCAGAGGTCCTAACGCTCGCGCCACCGATCCGACCGTTCAGCGAGGCACCGCCGCCAATGTTCAACCAGCCCCTCGAAGTCTACTCCAAGGGTCTGGATGAGTTGGATTGGATCTTCACATCCATCATGCCGCCTGAGGCACAGGGACGCCGAGCATCAGTATCAGTCGGTCGGCCATTGAGCAGCTACTCAGCACACAAGGGTCTCGGGCCCCAATGGGGTGGAGATGCTCGTAAAAGTATTGTGGTACCAAATGGATTTGGAGGTTTCTTGGCCGTGCCTGCAGACAACGATGGAAGACCACGGAGTGCGGGACACATGGCGCCTAGTGGAGGCTTCGGACACGGCTACTCCAACTCGCTTGGTGGCAGGGAGCCTAGTCCACGCGCCAGCTGGATGAGCCATGCAGGTCGCGAGAAGCGGGCCTCGAGGGCGGACCTCTGGCGATGAGTCGGGCGACTGCAACCTGCATCGCTCTTGTTCCCTTGCTTGCATTCTTCTTTCACTTCTCACTTCTGGATACCCGTCCATTCTTCTCTTCCTTCATAGGCGATCTTTGTAAGATACCAAGTGGAGTTCTTTTTTGATCTTACAGGGGTACGGTGCGATTTTTGGACGACTCATTGACGTTGGAATATTTGGATGGCACGAACGAAGATACCTTTAACGTGGGACACGGGGTACGTTTGGCTATCTGTAGACAAGAGATAGCTACGAAAGCCTCGAAAAGCGGCGGGATCTGGGATCTCGTCGCCATCTACGTATCAACGCATGCGCTTGCTATCAATGCTGTGATGCTGTAACTTGACATGGCGTTTTAATACTACGGGATCACCTGGCCAGCTCTGCATGTGACCACAACTCGTCACAAGGAAAAGAAATCGAATCTTCACTTGCAACACCTACTGGAAGTTAATACCCCAGGAGTCTACGTTACGTGAAGAGTTCGCTTACTTTCGGGTTTAAACCAGGTCTGACTGCAGCGTTCAGATTTTCGCTTGCACGTGGTGATCAAATATTAAGATGAGTCTATACGCCAGAGGGTATCATCAGAAAGATGAAGGGTGATCAAGCAGAATCAGGACTGCGCCCCACATTCTCGATACTCACATCCCTTCCAACTCTCCTCCTCCATGACCGCATCAATCGGACATTCTCCACTGTGAATCGCGCTCCTCACGCTCTCCTTGACCAGACTCCTCATTTCTTTATCTATCTCCTTAACCCACAACTGCCTGTGCCTAGCCCCACATCCCAAATTCCACGTCCCCCTCAAACCCCTCCTCTCGTCTCTCTCTTCCGTGTTCTTCCCATCCCCTGTGTCTGCCCTGAATATCTCCGAATGCCCAAGCCCGTGATGGAATAATTCCGGAGCTACACTCCAACACTTCCAATCTCTGTCCCTACATGCGCTCAACAGGGCAACATCGTATGCCGAACTGCCACCTTCCGGTTGCTTGGAGTAGGTAGAGAGGATCATGGCGGCAGACCGGCGGTTCACGGCGTAGGCAAATGTGCAGAACGGCCAAAAGCTTCTGTGTAGCAACCGAGCTTTTGATGGTATAGATAGAGAGGAGAGAAAAAGAGCGGTGTCTGGGTGAAGGAGGGGAGTGGGCGGCACGGTGGGGTCGCGGTACAGAAGGAAGGCTGGGAGAGGTAGGCCGTGGAGATTAAGTCGTCGCAGTGGCCGGGGTAGAGGAGGTCCCAGCTATTGGTGGAAGCCCAGTATGCTGATGACGAGTTGTCAGTGGCACTCGTGTCGAGCAAAGAGCGGACAGCGGATGCCAGGAGTGGGACCTGGGATTGCCGGATGAAGATGTCGAAATCAGTGTCGTCTTCGATGATCAGAGCTGTCTCGTGGCTTGAGGCGAGGAACCTGTCGTGTTATCAATACATCGTTCTGTGTCATTGACCTCTTCAAACGGACGTACCATCTCAAAACCTCCAAATGTCCCAACCAGGCTTTCGCACTTCCAGTGCTTAGACTACTACCTTCCTTCGTCTTCAGCTTCTCGACATCACCCACACCCCACTCCTTCTGCCGAAAGATCACAATCTCGATATCTGTTAGGTTGGCAGCCCATAGTAGACTGGGTCGGCGTGGTGAGCTGGAGTGTGATACTGCAAGGATAGCACCAAAGCCGAGGGTAGAATTGGCCGGTGGGAGGGAAGGTGGAGGTTGCTGAAAGTGCGACGTGCTGGACATGTGGGCGTAGGGGTTATGGCAGAACAGGTAAATCAGAGTAAGAATTGATAAACCCGCCAACAGAAGCTGGGTTCTCCGAGCCATGCTTGGTAGGCAGAGGAGATGTGGGAGAGGGAGAAGAGTGTATGTTAGTGGCATCTACCTAGGTGATTGGGGCATGTCTCCATAGTGAAATGCAGTACTGTGCAAACGCAGTAGAGACTCTTATTGCTGGAGAAGTAGGTTCTGTCCCAATTGACATGATTCTCTTCATAGATTCCTTTTCTTCCAATTTTTCACTCTCACTTGGCTCAGTCCGTCGTGCTATATTCCAAGGTTGCTGCAAGATTACAATACAATAGACACTAGCGTTCCAAGTCCAGCGTGGTGTGAAGTAGGTTCCACTCTTTGTCAGATACTCACCACCGAAATTATGGGCAATGTAAAGCCGAGAGACTACACAAACAGGGCTGCTGTGGCTGATGCATGGCAAAGTGTAATAATAATGCGCGGCAGGGCGGTACTTGCGGCGGGTGTGCGGCTAGATTGGCCGAAACAGCTAGGCGGGCATGGCCAAACACGCAGCTGCCCCGGCCCAGCTATTGTTAGCGCCACAACGGGCGCCCTTGCTGCATCAAGTAAGAGTCCAGCCAACCTTGTCCCCCTGAGAGGACCACCTCCATTGCGACGGTGCAAGACTGGGTCGCTTGCTTGACGTAGTGATTGGACTTAGGTACTGGAATCTCATGAATTAAACAGCCGAGTATCCGTGTGCACCTGCCGCTCCCTGTTGCTTCTTCCCACACTCCCTGCGCCGCTCCCCCTCACTTGCTTGGTGTATGCCCTCCAGCCTCTGTCTCCTATGTCCCTTACCTGTCGTCGCACAGGCACGCAGAGTCGTGTCGCACAGCAGCATAGCACAACATGGCCACGGAAACAATCCCCTCGTCGGCGGCGGCAGCCCCCAAGATGTCGCGCTATAGGAGTGTGAGGCGCGCGCAAGAACAGCAACACCACACTTCGCCAGGCGCGCCCGCAGTGCCTCCCATGCCCGCCGTGTCCGAGATGCAGCCTCAAAGCGATGCGCCCATCAGCAGGAGCATGAGCCGCTACCACCGCAGGCCAACTACCTCGCACGCGACCAGCCCAAACCCCCCGCCCGGTTCGAATACAATCCCAAATGCCCCTCCTCCCCTTCCTGCGCAACTACCGCCCTCTACGCCCTCTACATCCCGGAACCGTGCTGTGAGTTCGCCGTACCAATCGTCGCATTCCGCAAACACCGGCCAGCGTCGGCCCAGGACCGCCAGAACGCGCACGACAGAGGCCTCGCCGCCCGTCTCCAATGCGCCGCGACAGCAGTCGCTCAGAGGCGATGACAGCGCGAGAGAGGTCTTGCAGCGGGAGAAGGAGAGACAGCGACAGCTCAAAGAAAAATATGAGGCAGAGGCGCGCGCACAGAAGCAGGCGAAGCAGGCCGAGCTGGACAGAATCGAGAGGATGCGACACGAAGAGGAAGAAGCTGCGCGCTTAGACGCCCAACGAGAGATGGAAGAAGCCGAGGCCCTACGTCGGCAGAGGGAAGAACAAAAGGCCGAACAAGAACGTGGCAGACGATTGCAGAAGGCCGAGAACCAGAAAGTCCTCCAACAGAGGGAAGAGGGCGTCCGCAAGGCAAAGCTCGAAGAGAAGGAGCGGCAGGCAACCCTCGCAAAGCTTGAACAGAAGGCCCGAAAAGCTCCCTCTTCCTCGCCTCCAGTATCGCCACCGCGGCAGCAGGAGACAGGTTTCGGAATGTTCAAGAGGAGAAAGGATGAAGCTTTGGGTCTAGATGCCCCTGTGCAACAACCAACTGCACCGCAACTGAGTCTTAATCTCGGAGAGGAGGAAACTATCAGACCCGGCGGAGGTGGCGTTGTTCTAGGCATCGATGCGCCTACATCCGCCGTGAATGCCGGTGATAGAGTATGTACATCATTCATCAAACACGAACATGCGACTAACAGCCGTAATAGCGCGTTAAAGTCGTGTGCAACGAGAAGCGCATCCTGCTCCCTGTGACTCCAACCACGACTCCTCTCGATCTTATCAAGTCTGCTGCCACGGTGCTCACAGACCCCATTGACGTTCGCACAGCTGTCATTTCCGAGCTCTTCACCAAAGTCAGCATCACACGCCCCCTTCGCAACTACGAGTACGTGAGAGATGTGATGAACTCCTGGGATTACGACAATCAAAACGAACTTACCATCATTGACTCTGATGTCGACGGTATCGACCAGGACAGTCTACTCTCGTACAAGGTCCCAGACACCAGACCAGAGGGCGCTTCGTGCTTTATCCAATACTCATCGAGACCTGGGAAATGGAGTAAACGACTTCTCATCCTTCGCCCAGACGGACAATTAGTCATGGCCAAGAACGAAAAGACCAAGGAAAAGGACCAGGAAAACATCTGCACACTCACAGACTACGACATCTACTCGGTGACCCAGTCCAAGCTGGCACGGGTGAAGCCTCCAAAGAAGATTTGCTATGCCGTCAAGAGTATGCAAAAGTCTAACATCTTTGCGGACGAGTCGCAGTATGTCCACTTCTTCTGTACCAACGACCGAAACATAGCGAACACGTTCTACACAGCGTTACAGACGTGGCGGAGTTGGTATCTCAAACACCAGAAGGGCGAGGGTTTGAAGAAGAAGACTCATGCGACACGCAATGTGTCCGGGGCTGCTGAAGCCGCACAGACGTCCTCGCATTCAAGAGGAGAATCAGTTGGGTCGCATTACCAGCTCGGTGCTTTCTCGTCCTTGCTCGATATGGACAGTTTCAACAAAACGCTGGACCAGATTGAAGTTCACAAACCGGGAGAGTTTCCAGACGACAAACCTCTTTCCAAGCTCGATAGTAGGGCAATGCACTCGCGGATGAAGTCGATACGGGTAAAGCAACCACCCCCAGCCGCTTTCAGCAAGAGTGGTCTGGTCGCAGAAAGCACTTCACCGCCGAGTGCCCGCAGTCGAAGTGTTGATCAGCAAGGCGAAGAGGCGTTTGCATCGAGCGGCCTTCTGGGACGTAGCTACACGCAACGTCAAGCCGCTCTACAAGCTCGTGAGCCGTCAGGCCCGTTCACAGAAGGACCATCTCTGCTGAACAACATGGGCCGTGTAGCCCAAGTATCGTCCAATGATTCTGGCCTGAAACGTAATACCTCAGTCCGCAGCAATCATCACCGGCGAGCATCCAGCGATCTTCAACGTAGTGCTTCGAAGCGTGTACCTGGCATGCCCGAGCCTTTGGTCGATCTAACACCCCAGTACCGCCCGCCACCGCAGCATCTCAACAAGGGCAAAGGCTACAATCCAGGAGCTGGCGCCGGGCCGTTGGTCGAAAGTGCAACGTCGATCGAGGAGGCTATCAAGGTTCCCTCATCAACAGACTGGCGCGCCGGTCGTCCAGGTACATCGCGAGCCGCTGGTGGCCACGAACGCACGCGCTCGCTCAAGGGTCGTGGCGAGCCATTGGCTGCGTATACACAAAACAACCATCTCGGTGCTCCAGAGGATGACAGTAAGGCGTTTACCGGAGGCGGTTTGCTATCTCAAGCCGGCTACTCGCAGGGGAAGGACATGGTGGGTAGGGGCGTTATGGATGGTAGTAAAGCCAAGGGCCCCATGGTCAACCTTTCGTCGAACAACGAATTCGCACAAGGCAGTTTGCTGAGTGCGCTGCCAAACGCTGCTCCGGTCATCGATCGGAGTGGTAAGTAGGGTCGTTTGCTCGACGGGTCCCTTTTGCTTGGAGTTTTTTGGGGTTCGTCGTTTTCGTTTGTTGGCGTTGTGCATTTAGCTCGATATCCATTGCTTTGGCTGCACTTTCATATGTCACATGTTACGGCCTGGGTGGTATCTGGCATAATAGATTTATAGAGGCCGTAAGAGAGGAGTAGTCCAATGCTGATTCTGGACTCTATGACCCAAAAGCAAATGCAAAAGATTTCTAGAAGAAGCTTCTTTTGCTCTCCAGCCATCTCGTAGGGTCGTTCGCTGTTCAAGGCTGCTGACATGTTGTATTCGAGACTCTCACCAGTCGAGTGTCATTGTCTAGACCTTGGTGTATCAGGCACTGACCGTATACGAGTCATGCACCTGCCTAGCAACCCAGCACGATAGTGGTATACGGCCATACAGTGCTGCTAGACAATATCGACCGAGATGCAATACGACACGGCTCGCAAGGAAAACCTTTTCTTCCGATGAACTCTCCGCAGCGCATCGCACACATGTCACACGGCGCGGCAGTGGCTTTCGTGGGCCCTTCACGTGCTCCTCTCCGCCTCCACCCACGACCCACTGATGGCGCTGTGGAGAGAGTTGGCGTGCTGTCGACTTCTCCCACCGTTCGCGGGAACCCCGCAATTGTCGGCCTTACTGCACTCCGTATGACGGAATACTGCAGCAAGCGGCCATGCTGCAGCGCCTCGGCAGTCGAACGCAGCGCGCAGCTCTTGCATCCAGCTGACCCTTTTGATGTTCTTGATGCGTCTGAAAGCGGACGGGCATAGACAAGCAGACAGGAATAAGCGAGCAGCTCAACGGGCGGCGGGATCGGTCGATGCTCCGCTTCTCATTTCCAAAGGAAACTGTTGAGTTGTTGACTCGCGGCCTTGGCCTCGCCCGTTGCGCTTCAGCCTCAGAATTGGGCGCTGCCTGTGGGGTCGACGCTGGCTCCAAGTGCAGCGCGGCGAGTGTGAACAGCATCGGAGGGAGCTGGTGCAGCTGTGACGGGGTGCGTGAAGGCGGCCAGGCTAAATGGCAGTTTAAACGTGAAGGGGCAGTAGAAGCCGAGCGCCTACGTCACGCCAGAGTACGCCGGCGGTCCTACGACGATTGATCCGATACCCAAAGAGGAATCCCAACCTCCACCGGGTAGCCAACGCTCGTGCGCCAAACAATAGCGGCCCAGCATTTCTGTCCCCAGGGCGCCTGCAAAACATCTTTCCTCGACTATTAGACAGAGTT